AACACATCCTCATCCTGGCGAGGATTTAAGCCCCTCCATTGCAGCTGTAAGTCGTAACTTTGTATGTGCAATTTTTTCCTTCAGTGCAGAATTACTATATCTCATTCCTCAATGCAGGTTGTTGCTTCTCAAGATTGGCCTGAGGTTACGAAGTATGCTAGCCGGCTTTCTGCACAGCGCCACCGTCAGGAGATGATACAGGATCTATACGATGAAAGGAAAAATTCTGACGGAAAACCTGTTAAAGGGGGCATGATCAGGTCTGTGGTTGTTTGTGATCATACCAGTCATCCGTATTGTTTTAACTTAAGATTGTTTATTCACTAAAACAATGTCAGTTTATGCAGAGAGCTTCTCATATCCTTCTACAAAGCAACTGGACGGAAGCCTGAACGGATTATTTTTTACAGGTTCAGACTCCTGATCTATGTTTTACATTCTTGTCCTGATCTGTGTTTTATGGCTGCATGCTGATGGTGTTATCTCTATGCAGGGATGGTGTCAGTGAGGGTCAGTTCGATCAAGTGCTGCTGGGTGAAGTTACGGCAATTAGAAGGGTATAGTGGGCTGAATCTACTATAAATTTTATGCAACTCTCAATCTTCAATAAAAGAGAAATTACTAGCTAACTCATCTGCAATTAATTCTATACTCTAGGCTTGTAAATCAATCGAGGATGATTATCAGCCTCCAATAACATTTGTGGTGGTTCAGAAGCGCCACCATACCCGCCTGTTTGCTAATAATTATAGAGACCAATCATCTATGGATAGAAGTGGAAATATATTGCCCGGTATAGTTTTACACAAAATAAGTCGGTTGTTATTTATTAGTTGTTATGTTGCTTATTACTTTTTGCTTTGTTGGCTGTCAACAGGTACTGTTGTTGACACAAAGATTTGCCATCCAACAGAGTTTGACTTTTATCTATGCAGTCATGCAGGCATTCAAGTAAGTCGTACCCCCTACTTCTGTTTTGGGTTAAAACACTGTTGGATCTGAGATGGAAGCCTAGAGGAGGTGAATAGGATTGCCTACTATTTTTTGATATCACAGATAATATGCAGCGGAAATAAAATAGATAATTAAAATGGTAAAAAAAAACTTAGAACAAATCACAGCTAGAGCACATAAGAACTTTATAGTGGTTTGGATAAACAATACTACATCCACTATTCCTTCTTGCGAATGAGCTTCCTTGAAAGTTCTCTTGAATCACAAATTCAGTAGGCTTACAAGACTAAAACCCTAGTTTCTCCCAAACTATATCGTCTAACCTGAACTCTTTACACAAGTTTCCCTAGCCCTAGCTAATTACCAATTCCTCAACTAACCCCTGCTTGAGTGTGCCGTAAAAATAAGTTTAGTACAAAGAATAAATTATCAAATAAGCAGAACTAGGATGATCTTGCAGTCCTTTGATTATGCAAACAACAAACTGTTCTCCCAATGATTGAAGCGAAGCTCTAAGAAGAACAACAATGATGATGAAGTTTAAGGGTAGCACTCCTCGAAGGTTAATGATCGGATGATGAAAAATGACATCGAGGATGCTTTCTGAGAAGCCTGAAAAGATCCCTACCCTTTAACAAAATTGAAAACCTAGGTCTATCTTTCTCTTCCTCGTTTTTTTTCTTTCTGATTTAGGTCAGGAATCTCTGTTGAAAAATGTGAGGAAAGGGACTCTATGCTCCTAGCAATGAACTGCTCAGATCGAATCCAAATCAAATTAGAAATATGAAATCTGGCGTGCGAACGTCGATGTTCTAACTTGATCATCGATGATTAAGTGATGATCATCGATGGACATTGTTGCCGTCGATGATTTAAAACTTTCTAAACTTGTAGATCACATTGAGAGCTTTCCAAAAAGTTATTTACAATAGTGATTCCGATATTGAGTCAAAATTTATGGCCCGTGCACATTTCAGCCTCCATGCACGTTTCTAGACTGGTGCTGATTGTTTTGACCCTATCTCGCTAAGTCTTTCATATCTTAAGCTATAAATCTCAGTTCAACTGAGTTCTGTTTGTTTCTATCGATTTATAACAAAGAAAGGAACTTCTATATGTTCAAACTTGTTCAAACTTGATTTTAGCCTTTGTTTTTTATTTAGAATCAACAATGATTAACTTGTTGTCTTGCTCTAGTCACTTCCAAACTTGATTAACTTCTTCTAACCTGTATACATCTCAAACATATACTAGACCAATATGAAAGTTTGTTATTCATCAAACTAAGTCGATTGCACGATCATGGCCTAACAAATACTATATTTTTGTGATAATCTTCTCTCTACTTATTATTGAAGCATTTATTTATGTTTTACTGATTTGTGACATGTAACATCTGCAAGGGTACTAGCCGTCCTGCACATTACCATGTTTTATTGGATGAGAACCACTTTACTGCTGATGGCCTGCAATCCCTTACAAACAACCTTTGCTACACGTAATGAAATGCTCTCTACCTCAATTTTGCGTGATAATCATTCTACTGTTATTGTCTGAGGATATTCTGGCTAAAATTCTGTCCTCTTTTTTTTTTTGCAGGTATGCTAGGTGCACGCGATCTGTGTCAATTGGTAAGTTTCCATATCCCGAAATGAATAATATTTGGTAAATTTGAAACACCCCTCAACTTTTGGTGGAATTGCACAAAACCTCCCTAGTGAAAATGAGAGAAACCACCCCTGAGTACATTTTTTCTTAAACACCCCACCAAAAAAAAAAAACCCCCCTCAGTGAAACCGTTAAAAAATCCCTCCTACATCTCTCGTTTCCCTTTACGCACTCGTCCATGAAAAACCCTAAAATGGAATTTTGCCCGTAGTTCTGGTGGGACTTATCACAAGTTCAGGAGGGTTGTAGAATGCCCAATACTTTCAAGGGGTTTTCTCAAAATTTTGAAATTCAGGAAGGTTTTGTGCAAATACCCCAAAGTTCAAGGGGTTTTTGTTTTGTTTTTGTTTTCGTTTTTGTTTTTGTTTTTGAAATTTGCCCATAACATTTGTTGTATAGTTGAATGATGTACTGTGTGGTGTTTTTTTGGTAACTGCAGTGCCACCTGCATACTATGCTCATTTGGCTGCTGCCCGTGCTCGATGCTACATGGAGCCCGAAACCTCTGACAGTGGATCAATGGCGAGTGGCGCACGTGCTACCCGTGGTTCAGAAGACGCTCCAGTTAAGGCTTTGCCTGCCCTGAAGGAAAATCTTAAGCGAGGCATGTTCTATTGTTGATGACGGTGGTCGTGCTATTATTAGAACAATATCTTTAAACTTAATTTGGCTTGTTTGTTGTATGAATTTGTTTTGTTGTATGGATTTCTTGTGAGTATTGTATTGTTTTCGCAACTTGTTGAACTCGCTTTGCTTCCTATTATTTGTTGTATGAATTTGGATTAAACTAGCACGCAGTGTGGTTATTTGGCTTCTTGCTTGTTTTCTATCCTCAAGTTGTCTCAAAATTCGACAGGATAAATGCTCGAAAAATCGTCGCTGCCAGTGTTTTGTGTTAATTTCAGGCATTAGATCGTCATTACTCTTGCTTCCGATGACTAAGCAATCTGCACTGAATTTTTCATTTCTGGTTTAAAGATGAATATCACTAATTTTTCACTCGCGCCTTCAAAGTGACAACCAGTTCGGATATTGATGTTTCTTTGTAGATTCAAGCTTCTTCATCGACATCATCGAATGATAGAAGTTTTAAGCGAAACGCAAGCAAAGCATTTATGAATTTCGAGTAATATTTGTCAGATTGATATTGTCATAACTTTAGCGTAAAACCTCAAACAAGGTTTCTGAGTAACAGCAGAAGAAAGAAAGCATAAAGTTTTGTGAGCTCCAACTTTAGGGTAAAACTTTCAGATGTATGTACATCAGTGGCAGAAATCGGGATCAATTTCAATATAATACTGAAAAGTACATATCTGCAACTTTCGTGAGCTAATCTGAATCCAATATGGCTACTATTTTAGTACAAGACCCCTCTTATTCTCTTTCAATTTGGTTTAATTAGTGATCGAGTCAAGTGCTAACAAAGTGTTTAAAGAGACCACCCTTTCATTTGTAATTTTTACACAAATCATCTTTAAAAGTGTGTTTTTGCTCCTATCAACCTCTTTCTAGTCAAATATTCGTTAAAAACCAAAGATAGCCTAAAAAATGCACGGTCTAAGTTTATGTGACTTGTATCCTAAAGAGAACTAAACATCAACAAAGTGAATCATATATCTTGAATGTGAGTTCTTAAGGGTGTTTTTTGGGTTTTTTTCGTGAAAACTTTGACCGGGAGGTGGCTGTTTGGAATAAAAACTCGTTTTAAAGGTGATTTACTTGTGAAGTGAAAATGAAAAACGATTCCTATAAAATGGCCCTATTTTATTAAAGGTGTTTTCCCCATGTTTTCTCGGTGTTAACAATACAAATTGCTAAAAATAATAGTCTCGGGGTTATCATGACTTATGTACCTTCCAACAAAAATCGTAGCGTTATATAATTTGGTGGGGGCGTTAGTTGTCATATGCAAAGTTTGTGAAGAAGAAATAAATAAGCAAAACTAGGGAAGTTTATTTTGCATGAAGAGGAAACTAGGAGGGCAGTTTATTGGGGGTGAAAAGAACTTATCCTACGCAAATATAACTCACGTCAAGCTCTAAAATTCGAATCATTTTACAATTGTTTATAGGGTTTTTTTTTTAATAGTGGCCCCTTTCGTATAGTAAAATTAGTCCATCAACTCACTAGAGTTAACTATCAAAACCATCCAGTTCTCAAGTTATTTTGAAATTACTCCCTCCAATGATTAATAATAGAAGTAACAACTAGAGGTATTATTCTAAAAAGAAAAAAAAAAAAAAAACTTGTGAGAATTGCGGATCTAATAACAATTTCATTGACTTGAGGGGTCTAAGCGACTAGTGTTGGAAAAACAAGAACATAAATTGAGCGCGGTTCTCAGTCTTCTCTTTAATTATACTCTCACTTCCCCTCAATAAAAATCGAGTCTTGCTGAAGAATTCCCTCCAACATTTTCTCGTTTCTCTTGATAAACCAAGAACAGAATTCGCCCTGTAGGAACGATATCTCGGTGTTTTTGTGATAATTGCAGTGCCTCCTGCATACTGTGTGCTCCTTTGGCTGCTGCCCGTGCTCGATGCTATGTGGAGGCAGAAACCTCTGACGGTGGATCAGTGGCGAGTGGTGCACGTGCTTCCCGTAGTCCAGGTGCAAATGCAGTTTAAGCCCCTACCCACCCTGAAAGAGGATGCTAAGAGAGTCGTGTTCTATCGTTGATGACACTGGTCATGCTATCATTAGAAACTCGAATCTTATATAAGACCTACTGGCTTGTCTTATAAACTTCTTGTGATTTTTTTTTTGCATGATTTCTGTAGTGTTTTCAGGTATGAATTTCTTACGAGTATTGTATCGTATCGTTGTAGTGGTCTTTTACTTGCTTTTCTTCCTGTTATGTTAAGCCAATATCTCTGGTTCTGTGTGAAGGAAAACTATTTTGTCGCGGGTAATATGACCTTATTTGGATTAAATTAGCCAATTTGTATGTTATTTGGCTTCTTGCTTGTTTTTCATTCTCATGCAGTCTTGCTACAAGATAAATGCTCGAAACCTCGTGCTTGCCAATATTGTTTGTGCTATTTTCAGGCATTAGATAAGTATCGCATCCTTATTTTTTGCTTTCGATTATTAAGTATTCTGTTCATGAAACCTTTGTTCTTCTAGCTTAATCACGTTCATGTAACAATATAGATGACTTTTTTTTTTATTTTAAATATCAGGCATCTTACATGGTCAATATGTACACCATTGGGAGAAGAAATCAACATAAATTTCAATTTAACACTGAAAGTTTAATATCTGTAACCTTTGTTCTAATCTGATCCAATTGTGTGTTCTATTTTGCAACAGGCTCCCTCTGATTCTCTTTCGATTTGGTCAATTTTTTACGCCAAGCTCTCCACCAAAGTTCCTGGGAGAATAAAAACCAACATTAAGTGTTTGTTGAGAATACCTAGTTTTGTAGATACATAAAGGAAATGCGTGAAGACGAAGATATTTTTTTTAATAGCAGTCTGAATCTAGGAATAAATTTAAGCTTCTAGAAAAGTTTGATGTGCAGGTTATTGTATGAGATAAGAGGGAGAGTTTGATGTGCAGGTGATTGCATAAGACCCTTCAAGAAATCACTAGGTTGTCGGGAACTAATATCTAGTCTGAACTAAATCGGCCTCCAAATAGTGAAAACAATGATTTTAACTATTACCAGTGATTTTGAACTACCTTGCACAAGGTGTGGATATCATACAATAGTATGCGAACTTTGCCGTCATCTGCAACCAAACTCTCCAGTTGCGGATATCCCTGCATTAAAGATCAACGTTTCTTCATCAGAACCAGATCGTATGGAGAAGGATCAACATAGAAATGTTACAAAATGAAGTAAGCCGAGGAAGGTTAAACGAAATATACTGATCAGTACGATATGCAGCAATGAATTTGTTGGGTGAGAAAGGCAAGACAATCAACAATCTCCACATAAAGATGCACAAACACAAAACAAAATAATCTGACATGTAGCTTTGATTATGCTATTAGACTGCTGTGCTGGAGTATGCAATTAAGATAATCTAACATGTAACAAAAAAGTATCTTGTGGGGACGGCTCATGGCCATAAATATGCACCCAAAGGATATCAAACCTTGGATCACTGAAGTTGGGGTTCGTGCACGGATCCAATTATCGATATCCCTTGGGTGCGCATTTATCGCCATGGGCCATCCCCACTAGATACTTTCTCTTACCTAAGATAGTCTAAGATTAAATGCTCATCCATTCCTGACTTTGATTGTGCTATTATACTGCTGACCTCGGTGCAACTAATTTATAGTAACTTCTTAAGGACAGAAGGAATAAAAACATAATTGTAGGTATTGGAGTATAATAATTTCAGTAACGATGAGAATCAATATTATCGTGGTCTTTGTGCCATCAGAGGAGAGATGGGTACCGGTTCAAGTAAGTGAGAGAGAACGAATGGCATCATAAGTTTCATCCTTTCCATCGACTTTCCTCGCTCATTACCCATCACCAGAAATCGCCACAGTTGCACACCCCCTCTTTGAAATGATGAAACCGAGTAGCATCTCTCACAGTAATTGTTCTTTTCTCAACCAAACTGATAAACTTTATTGCAGTATGACAATCTCCACAAACACGCAAATTCTTTGTAACAACAATAGGTTGTTCACAACTCAAACTCAAAATCCCAAACGCTATTGCTAGCTTCTCGCTATGGAAAAGAAGTGCATTTTCCTTCTCTTCCTCATCCACGTCTTGCAGTACAAAACTAGTATCAGCTCGATAACCTAATTTCCTAATCTCAACTAACAAGTCCTTCAATTTTTTATATATACTCGAAGACCGAGGATGAGACTGATCTCCGCCAATAAAAGCATGAACAATTCCCCCAATCTCAATCCAGCTACTTCCCGGGCTTTTCTTGAATCCCTTCTCCCTTTGCGCTATTCTCACTCTTGCTGCTTCATCATGTCTTCCAGCAGCACTGTACATATTAGACAACAAAACAAAATTACCAGTACCTTCAGGCCCTATATTTTGTATTATTCTTGAAACCTCTTCTCCAATCTCGATGTTTTTATGAACTCTGCAAGCTCCGAGCAATGCTCCCCAAACTCTGACGTCGGGTTTAAATGGCATGCCTTGGATAAAGTCCCATGCTTCATTCAAAAGACCTCCCCGACCCAAGAGATCAACAAAACAAATGTAATGCTCCATTCTTGGTATAATACGATAAGCCTGGATCATAGTCTGATACAAATGTTTCCCTTCAGTGATAAGTCCGGAATGACTGCAAGCTGATATAAGGCACACAAATGTGATATCATCGGGTATTAATCCTTTGATTTCCATAGTTTTAAACAATGAGATTGCTTCTTTGCCAAGCCCATGAATTCCATAGCCAGCAATTATAGCATTCCACGAGACAATATCTCTTCTAAGCATTCGATTGAAGACTTCTCTTGAAAAATCAATCCTCCCACATTTGGCGTACATGTCAATAAGAGAATTACAAACTGAGATATCAGATGCAAATCCACGAACAATTACTGATCCATGGCTATATTTTCCATGCTGAAGTGCAGCTAAATGAGAGCAAGCTGGGAGAATTCCGACCATAGTAGCAATATCTGGCTCTATCTTAGCAATTTGCATCCTTTTAAAGAGATTAAATGCTTCCATTGCATTCCCATTATGAACACATCCTGATATAATGGCACTATAAGTAACAGTATCTTTAGGTTCGACTTCATTAAAGAGCTGCATTGCATAATCCATACTTCCAGCTTTGGAATACATCGACAAAAGAGAATTTGCAATTGTTGTATCCACAAGAAACCCAGATTTAACTAAGTAACAATGTATCCCCTTTCCTTTGCCCACGTCGGCTAATCTTGCACAAGCTCGAATAACACAAGCGAGGGCGGTGGGTCCCACATTCTCAGGTGCGTCGTTAATCATTTTATCGAAAATCGCTAGAGCCTCGACCATCTTATCACAAATCACATAGCCTCCAATCATTGCGCTCCAAGTTACCTCATTCTTAAAACTCATCATGTCAAAAATTCTACAAGCATAATGCAAGAGCTCACTTTTGGCATACATATCCAATAACGCAGTATCAACCGAAACATCTACTCTATCAAAACCTCTCCTTAAGCAAAATCCATGAATGCTCTTCCCTTGTTTCGAACCCTTTACTTGTCCAACCACAGGGAGGAGTCCTACTATGGTTGAAGAGTTTGGGCAAATCCCAGACCTTTGCATTTCCAGAAGGAAAATGATCGTGTCATCATATAGCCCATGAAGAGAAAATCCAGAAATCATAGCATTCCATGCAACCACATCTCTCTTCTCCATTGCATCAAATACCACACGAGAATCATTCAAGACCCCACATTTCATATACATATCAATCAAAGCAGTTGCTACAAAGACATCCGAATCCAAACCAACCGTCTTCGCATAATTATGAATCCCAATGCCTTCATCCAATGCAAGAAGACCCGAGCATGCCTTGAGAACAAAGGGGAAAGTGAATTTGTTAGGGGCAACGCCCGATTCTAACATACGATGGTAAATCTCGATGGCTTTATCAAAGGGTCCGTTCCAAGAATAGGATCGGATCATTGCATTCCATAGGAAAATCTTTGGCTGGGGGATTTTGTCAAACAAATGGCGGGCGGTGGCGGTTTCATCGCACGAAAGGTACAAGAGGGCTAATTTTTCAAGTAGGACCGGATTGGTGATATGGGTATTGTTTTTAAGGATGTGTTCATGAATCTTCTTGCCTTGGTGATGTGATTTGGATTTGAGACAAGAATCTAAGAGCTTGATGTAGGTGGAGATGTCTAGTTTTGAGGTTGGGAGATGGAGTTGTTCTTCAATTGATTTCTTAACGGCGACAGAGGAGACGGATTGGGTTGAAAAGAGGAGCCAAATGCGATTGGGTTTGTTGAGAAAATTGAAGAGATTATTGTGAGAAAAGTTCAAGGGTTTGTGGAGGGAAAGGAATTTGTTTGATTTTAAAAACATTGTTTCTCTCTTTCCGGTCGATTTTTTAAACTCTTTATTTGAACAAATATCTGGGCTGCGTTTAAATGGGCCAGCTGAGCTGGGCTTATTGAGTGTATTTTAGTTTTTTATTTCATTGCATTTGGGTTTTTCTTTTAGTCGTAAATAAGGGGTTTAAAAATAAAGGTTATCCGAGGAAATGGAAATATCTGTATCAGAATTTGTCAGGATACGGACAAGGTTACTAAAATCTATATCCGAAATAACTGAATATATGTTGGTCATACCGTTGCAATGGTTTTAATCTTTAGATTAATGGATTTGAGGTTAATTTTGATGATCAATAGATCTAATCTTAGCTTTCCAAATATAACGAACATATTAATGAACTCTCTTGTGTCACATGAACTATATTTCTTTAATATTATCTGGCTTATATTTGTTTTGTATCCGCATACCCGCTTAATTATGTATCTATATGTATATGTATATCTGTATCTGATTTTAGTGGATGTGGGTATAAATTTTCTTACTGGGACATATCTGTATCCGTATTCATGTTTGGTAAGTGGGTATATGGATATCATTCATATCTTATTTGAACTGTATTCAAAGTGTTTTGCACCACTAGTTGTGAGACATTGTTGAGCTCAACATGTACATTTTTATCCCATAAAGGTATACACTAAAATAATATTGCATGTGATTTATGGCTACATGTATCTGTTTGTTTGTAGGAGTAAACATATGTAAGATTCTCTCTTATATATATGAGAATATCTTGGAGTTCAACCAGAGCAATGGTTGCAGTCAATAAGCCAAACCCATAAAGACACTGGTACAAACAAAACCCATGTGTTTAAAACGCAAGTAACACTCATGAATTATATAAAATTTATAGCTGAATTAAGTATAAGTTTTTGTGCATTAGATTCTGAGTTTTGGGAGAATGTCTGAGTTGTGCAAGAACTCGATCTGCAGCTGTGCATCACCCCAAGATATTTATCAATATTTTATCCAACAGCTAAGGTTAAAAAGTTCTGGTTGTTTATCAAGAATATAGACCTAGTTTAATTTGACCACTCCACTTGTTGGTAGTTACTGAGTTGGTATTGCGTAAATAAAACAAAAAATGCATAAAATATAAAATTAACTAAGATTTATAAAAACCTAAACAACGTATGTTGACAAATAGTGAGATGCGAGATCTTTTCATACTATCTAGAGGTGCAAAGACCTATCCAATTAATAGACAAAATAAGTTTTAGAGCCTTTTGGCTACAGCTTTTTAGACGAAGGTGAAAAGGTGCATGGCAACCTTTTTGGCCGTAACTTTTTATCCAATTTGTATATATGAGTAGATGCAAAAAGAGAATTTGAGCGGAAGAGATGTATGATAGAACGTTCACCATTTTTCTTCCTCTCTTTTGAATGTCACTGTAGAGTTTCTATGTGAGTGTGGTCATTCTAACTTTGGAAAGCATGTTCTGTTTAGTACGTTTCAACGAGAAGTAGGAATGCGCATTCTGTTCCCAGATTCGGATCTTATTGGTCATGAATTTCTTAAGCGGATTAAAAGATATATAATATTATTTCCAGAGTCCATGTTTCAATCCATGAAAGTGATCTCAGTCCGTGGGGCCCCATCTATAGAATTTTGTTATTTAAAACTTGACCTTCAATGAGTTTGAAATATAGACATGCATTTTTAAAAAATTTAGGGATTTGGATCCTCTCCACTACAAAAAAGTAGTGGAGAGACCACTACTTTTAATCTCAAACGTTGATTATTTAGTAGGCGGTTATGATACAATCTAAATCTAACACTTACCATACCCCCGTGTATTGCACTCATTCCTAATTTGCACTAAAAGAAAAAATCATAACCATCAACTAGATAATCAATGGATGTGATTATGTAGTGGTCCCTCCACTATTTTTTTTGTAGTGGAGAGGATCCGAATCCAAAATTTAGATCCTCACCGCTATAAAAAAGTAGTGGAGAGACCACTACTTGTAATGGCAATCCTTACTTATCTAATAGATGGTTATGATACATTCTAAATCTTACTATATCTCCGTGTATCACACATTCCTAATTAATTTGCATCCAAAGAAAAAAAATCATAAAAACTCATCATATAGTTAATGTTTGTGATTAAGTAGTGGTCCCTCTTTTAAACTTATCTCATCTAACCATTACACCAAAACTTTAAAGTTATAGTGAGGATTGAATTTCATAATTTTATATTAATTCTAACATGTCTCCACAAGTTGAGCGTTCTTTTCATTAGGTGAAAACCTGGTCTCATGCAGCGGGAATAATTTTTTAAAGTCCGCATTAAATTCATGACTAGCATGATTAATTCAAACCTAGATTGTTCTGGTACCATCGATCTTAAATTTAGCTTCTCTAACAATCACACCAAAAGTCAGAAATTATGGTGAGGATCGATGATCGTAGTTTTATATAAATTCTAACACCTACGGCTACTTTTTTTTTTTAATAATGGGGAGAATACTAGAATTCTTATTCTCCTCCTCTATTCTAAAATCTTCTCCTTGTAATCACGAAGATAGAGTGTTATTGCATGATTGCTTAGAACTACCACAATTTGCTCTCATTTCAGTAGCATTTATGGAGACATCGAATAGAAAAATGATAAATGAAAACAAACTGTTTAACCCCTTTAATTATAACCTAGGCACCACGAAAACATCCTACTGCACTAATTAATTAAACAACAACAACAACAACAGCAGCAGCAGCAACGCGAGATTAAGCAGTCAGTTTAATGAACCGCTTCAAAACTAGTTGCACCGATTGATCCTCAGTATCACTGCAGGCTCCCGCCGGCAAAAGACTTGCCCAGCTCCGCCGCCGACGAGCCCATCTGTTCTCTCTGCGACATCCTCAGCATGCTCCCGACCCCGAGAAAATCTCTGGTCATCTCCTCCGCCTGCCTGAACTTACTCTCGTTCATGTTGCAGAACATGGCGAAGCTGGAGCTGTTGCCGCTGCTCGTAGTCGCGCCCATCTGCGCTGCCTTCTGCAGCAGCGCGGTGGCCGACATCTGGGGAGGGGCAGACTCTTGATGGTGGTGGTGGTGGTGCTGCTGCTGCTGCATCGACGAACTGTACAGGTTGGCGAAGAGGGTAGAGTTGGGTTGCTGGCTGCTGCGCTGCTGCTGCTGCTCGTTGCTTGTTACTGCTGGAGCTGTTGTTGAACTGGTCGAACATCCATGCTGCTGTTCAGATGTGAACAGGTTTTGGTGGCGCGGCGTTGGCGATCGGCTGCAGGTCGTGGTGGAGTTCGTTGATGCGAAGAAGGGGGAGGGGGCTGACTGGGGAGGAGGTGGTGTCGAATATTGTCGAGGGGGGGGCGAGGGCCCGCTGCTGAAGGCGGCGAGGGGGGGGGAGGCGGGCGTTTCCTGGGCGATGGGCGTCGCAGAATGCCCGGTGGGTGATGAAGCTGTCACGCCTGCGCACGCACAACACATAAACGTAACGCAGCGAGAAAAATGTTAATTTCCTGTAATCCATCTTTTTTGGTTGGTTCATGAAATCCTTATTAATGAAGCCATTAGTTCTCTCGAGAATTTTCGATCAGCCATTTTACTTGAAAAATGTTAGGAAAACTATATTAATGCTTTAACATATATATAATTAATGCCGGTGATCTGGACAGTCGGGAGGTTCCAATACGGCTCTCACGGTCGTCTAGGGGGTGTCAATTCCTGTCCGGGTTAATTTAGAAAAATGTCAGGAAAACTATTTCTCAAGGATTTTCGTAACATCTTTCTTAGGTTTTGGTCACTAATATTAATTAAGCATGTCTGGCTCAATCAAATGCGGATCATCTTGTCTTGGGTGTAATTCATGTATACTACCAAGGGAAAAAGTTAAATTAAATGAACAAAAAAGAATCAAACAAACCCATTTCTAGCATTGACTCTTCAATTAATGCAAGCAGGGAATTTTTTTGCCGCAAACATGAAAGGCGGCCGATATTCTCCCCATCAATTAAATGCGCCTCGTCAATTAATTAGAACCTCCATTAATTTGTACCTATCCTCTCTCTAGAGAGAGAGAGAGAGAGAGAGAGCTCTTGCTTCGAGATCTCTAACGTCTCCATGAAAAGGTGGTCCTTCACACGTCTATCCATCCCACAACAGAACAAATCTCTCGCCTACGGTCTATGGCAGCACGTGAACCCGAAGACAGACAGAGAGAGAGAGAGAGAGAGAGGAGCTCATTGCTCCTTCCCTTTTAATTTCCCCCCTTTTCCTCCCCCTACCCTTTTTTGTGAAAACCCTAACCAATTCCTAACCCTAAACCTTAACACGCCAATTAACTATGAGAGAGAGAGAGAGAGAGGGAGGCCTCACTGCATTTTTTTTTTTGAGAAAAACCCCACCCTCTAACCCTAACCCTAACCCTAACCCTAATGCAAGCCCAATCAAGGGCTCATCATGACCCAATCATATACATGCCTCCTCAACCCTGAGAGAACCCAGGTGCGTGACCCCACCGACGACGACCCTAGCTAGCAGCCCTAGAACGCCAACGGACAAGACACCACGAAAAGAAAGAAAGAAAAAAAAAGATGATGATGATGATACAATAATTAACCAACCGATCGACCGATCGATCCCGAGCGCGCGTACGTTACCTGGAGAAGAGCCGTGGCCGCAGTGCAGTGGGTACTCCGCGGGTGGCGCAGGTCTTGGCGTGGCTTCCAGTCGGACTGCACCGCGTACTTCTTGGAGCACTTGTCGCACTTCCACTTCTTCTCGCCGTGCTTCCTGCTGAAGTGCTTTTGATCCCCGTCAGGTCGCCGATGGGCCCTCGACGGGTCGTGGTGGACGCAGGTCGGCTCCGGGCACAGGTACACCTTCCGCCGCCCGGCGTCCCTCGGGTTCCTCTGCTTCAGCTTCCACGGCAGGTTGTGCCCGCGCCGGTGGAGCTGCAGGTTCTGCTCCCGCTGGAACCCTTCCCCGCACACCTCGCACAGGAACCTGTTCGTCGCCATCAGCGTCTTCGCGACAGCGCCACCACTCCGCGTCCGGATCTGCAATCTGAGCCGGTCGGGGAGAGATAATAATTCAATTTGGGATCTATAACATATATAGCAGTTATAGCAGTGTTTAATTATTCTTAATTAGATACTTGCATGGAGTTCGGGGAGGTTCCTCTTCTTCTTCACGGGAGCAGCTGCTGCCGCGGCGGCGGTTTGAGGAGCGGCCGCGCCATCGCTGGATTCAGAGGATGTTGTTGCTGCTGCTTCATCTGGCCGATCTCTTCGCCTCCGATGCCGAATACGGCCATGGACGACGCTGTGGTCATCTTCATAAAATTAAATACCCGCGTCGAGTACTAGCTTCTTCCTTTTTTTTTTCTTTATTGAGGGCTGGCTAGCTTGTTAATTTAGCAGTACTCGCCTTCTCCTCCTCCTTGATCCCTGAAACAAAGCGAGATGGATCAGGAAAAAGACCAAAGTGCATAAAATCCTAGTACAATTAAGCAAGAGGGATTAAGCAGTGTTAATTGTTTTCATGTCAACTATCAAAAAAAAAAAAAACCCTCCAAAGTTTTGATAGCTAGATACCATTTTTGCCTCTAAGAATGGCAAAACAACAAAGGGATCGATGTGGAAATCCAAACAAAGAGTTACACTCAAAACTAGTTATTTAGTAAGGGTTGAGAGAATGAAAGAGAGGATATAGTTGGAGAGAGAGAGAGAAGAGAAAAAAACAAGAAACGGAAAAGAATAGAAAAGGAAAGAGAGAGGGGGAAGAAAAAAAAACAGACCGGTCTATGGAGCTCTGGCCTCTTCCTCCTCTCCTCCTTGCTCTCCTGATTTCCTCTCTTTCTCTCCTCTTGTTGTTTTCTCCTCTTATTTATTTGTTTCCTTTTTTTTTTGGGCTGGGGTGGTCCTTTTCTCCTCTACCTCCCTCTTGCGTTGCTCAGCCCTTTGCACCACAAATAAAGATGCCCGGTAGTTTACACATAGGATAGGAAGAGAGAGAATGTTAACTTGTTGCGTTGTTGATTAGAAAAATATCCAGCTGATTGATTTCTAGCATTATATTAATTTATATATGGTAGAGATAGGCATTATTAGATCAGTGTACAAATCCACAGGTCCGCGGGTAATTAAAAACTAGATATCTTTTTGTTATACCATTAATACAATAAAGTAGAACGTGATCGCAAAAAAGTTGCGAGAATGCTTTTTTAGTGACGAGAAAATGTATATCCGGTAGTGATTTCTACGTGGTACATTCATTGTATGGTAGAGATATGCAATAGATCGGTGTACAAATATTCTATAACTCTGCTAGTTAAAAACTAGATATCTTTTTCGTCATGTCATTAATGCGAAGAACCGTAACATGCCATTAAGGGGCTGTTTGGATTGATTTTTTAGATAGGTAAAAGGGGGGAAAGCTACCAAAAAGCTGACATTTTTGACAGTTTTCCCCTCTTTTACCTATCCAAAAAATCAATCCAAACAGCCCCTAAGTGGCGAGGGCCAGGGTTCAGGAACACTCATTCTTCCCTAGTATCTTAAAAGGAGAGGATATTTAGTGTTGATGATGATAAAGTATCCAATGATTTCTATTCATTACACTAAGGGCCTATTAATTTGGTTCGTTTTCAAGTAATAGAGGAATAGAATTCCAACGAAAGGCAAAAAAAAAAATCATTTCCTTGAGTTCTTCATGCATTTCTTGGGATTTTCTTTTTGCTTTGTTTTGCACATCAAAAGGAAAGGGAAAACCTACGTCATCATAAGTCCATGCTTTGGTTCAAAACTTGAAATCAGGTAATGAACATATTAAGAAAAGACATATTGGTGCTTTATTTCCCATCAACCAATTTTTCAAATATATTTCAACATGTTTTCCTAGCAATTCTGTCTTAAAATTCAGAATTGACTTTTTCACCAAAGATGACGTTTTCTAACCTTTCTAAAAAGTTTTCCAAATTATTCTTTTGTGAATCAAACTAAAGAATATGATTCATTGACAAAAAAAAAACCGTGTTAGCAGTTTTCCATGTATTTTGCACCCAAAATTTTTGAACCAAACAGACCCTAATTGTAATGTAGACATATGTATTAAATCACTGTACAAATATTCTATATCCGCTAATTAAAAACTAGATATATTTTGTTATTATTATTAAAGCAACAAACCAAAACATGTCATCAAGCAGCGTGGGTTGGGTCCACCGACACCGGTTCTTCCTAATATCAAAAAGAGAGAGAGATGTTATATGTTATAGGTTGCCTCAAATACTCAAATCCATATTGCTTTGGAAGTTCTTTTTTAGCTTGGTTTGTTTTGATCAAGAGTCCTACTTACATTAGACTTTGCACAATCATTAGAGGTTTATTTCTACTTGGACTCTTGTTTGACTTCTGTTTCTATTAGAACTCGTATTTCTTAGACAGCAAGGGGCTGTAATCTTCAAGGCTATATAAGAATAGTCTTTCAAGCCAATTAGATTCTTCAATCTTCAGATCACCAATCAAGAAGAAAGAGTTCCTTTGTGAAGCCTATTTGGTATTCTTCTCTTTTTTGAGAGTTGTATTAGGCTTTTGGAGTGTTATTTGGGATTGAGAGATTCCACTTTGTATTCCTCATAATTTAGTAAAGTTTTCTCCTCCTTCGCCTGTGGAAGTAGGCTACAAGCTGAACACGTATATCTTTGTGTTCGCGTGTTTTTGATATTTTCCTTGCTCTCGTGTGATTGATATTAGCTTATTCTGGGGAATTTGTCATAACATTATATATTGTGTTGTTGATGAGAAAATATGCGGATTGTACAACAGAAATATGTCCATCTTTAGATTAGTGTGCCAATCAACATATCTACTAATTAGAGATAGATATGTTTTTGATATATCATTAATGCAATGAACCAGAATGCATAGTTAAGCTGTGTCAAGCAGGGTCAACCGACATTGCAAGCCTCACACACATCCTCTCTCATCCCAATATTCCCTAATCTAACCCTATGCCAAAACTAACTAAACCCCTCCTCGCTCAACCTGTAAGCTTTTGTAAAAAAAAGGTGGGGGAGAAACTCAATTTATATACATTTTTACATGATATTGCTTTTCATCTGTATACTATCTAGTGAGTATTTTGAATAGGTTTGAGTAGTTACACGCCAAGAACTTATTTGTTATTGAGCTTTAGCTATACGGACAAAATGCTCTTGGTGGTATTTGTTTCTTATCTTGTCTTTTTTATTAAAAAAAATTGAAGAATGAAGTAGTTATCTGCAATAAATAGCATGCGCGCGTTTTCAGCTTGTTGTTTTCTTAGCGAGGCGGTATATGAACATGTTCCTGGCTGTTTTTTAGGGTAATAATGTCACAAGAGCACAAATATACATAATGAGGAGAAAGATGTAGAAACTGTTATCTTTATTTTTTTTTTCATCTGAATTCATAAAATTGGTTGGAAAAAAGCGTGTATTCTCATAATTTGTATTTTTTAGAGTTATTTTTAATCGTGTCGTAAATTATAATCCTTTATTGGTTACCATTCTGGGACATCTGATGACAGTACATATGCATTTTCGCACTTTTTCTTTTATTTGTAGATACTTTCACATCTAATAGACATCCTCTAAACGAAAGAAACTATTTTCATGTATAATGGTAGTGGAGCCATGGATGGCAAATGAGATGCAAAATTAAAAAGAAGGAAAAAGACTTTAGGAGTTATTATTTATTAAGAATTTGCTAATATTTAGAATGTGCTTGCAAGCTAATCAGTAATAGAAAGCTCCCTTTAATATATATCAAACAGTTATAGTGGTTTTTATTATATAATAAAAAAATGTAAATTATTCCAAATGAAACTAACATTTATTATACTATTTTGATAGAGAACAGGAATAATCAAAGAAAACTGATAGATTGTACTCATGTGACAGCCAAAGTTTATTTGCAGTGCCTCTCTCCACATTAATGTGCCAACCTCATTCGGCGCAATGGTCATATTTTGGCATTGTTGGAGAATCTTGGACGACAGAATGAAGAGGATCATTGCTTTTGTTTCATTGAAGCTAGTAACTCTATGATACTAATAATGTCATGATTTTCATGCCCATACAACACCAACAGCAAAGTCTTCATATTAAGTTTTAGGGGTTACTTATATGAAGCCTAAGAGCTTGGTTAGAAGTAATTTTCCATTAATTATGCTTAAAGTCATTGTCCTACACCAAAACTTTCTTAAAATCCTCACCACTAGGCAATGTACCAAAACCATAAAGTCATAGTGAGAATTATAATTTTATATTCTAATATGCACCCGCATGTTGGAGGTCCCTTTTTGAGCATAAAGCTCATAGGGTTTCCACTTTAAACTATTCGTGGCAGGTAGGATTTGAATATGGGTTGTTTCGATAACATTCTAACAATTATAATCTTAACATGATTGATACCAAATTGAAGTCTGATTTTTCATGGTACCACTAAGAAGGTGTTCGGGAGAGCTCATCTTTTTCTTTTTTGGTCAACGAAAAATTGTATCCATAAACCAAAATTGTGAAGTTAAGTACATCAAGATACTCAGAAACAGCAAAACTGAGAGCTAAAAAATGCGACTAATAGGAAATAAAACCCGCCATTCTTGTTTACAGGGAAAGAAACCAGTCACTGTCTTCATTCGGCAGTGGAGGCTTGTTGAGGATAGCAGTAAACATATCATTCTTAATGTCCCTGATTATTTGTCTTGAGCTTCCGATTTTTTATTTAAATATCATTGTGCTGAAAGTGCCATTCTTTTCACTTTCAGTTTGAAACCTTTCACCTTTAACCTGTTGCAGTACCAATCAAGTAGCAAGTTTCAATCACAAGTCCTCCAATTATATTGGAGCCAGTCCATAACACCATTTCAAACATCTTTAGAGAAGCTGCACTCGAAAAACAAATGGTTACGGCTTTTCGTTCCACCATCGCATAAAGAGCAGAGGTCAGATTGAATTACCCTTCTCCTGAGCAGTCTATCCTTTGTAAGTAGCCTATTTTGAATAGCCAACCACAAAATAAAAGAGTGCTTAGGAAGATTTGATTTCTCCCAGACAGTATCGAACCATGATACTCTGTTAGTAACTGGAAAAAGGATTGAATATAGCTCCGAGAGGTGGATTTTGGAGTTCTTATAACATGAACTAATATGCTGTTTTAAATTGTCAGCTCCTCCAAAAAGAATCACAGCCTTGTCCTTTGTTTTTAACAATTGTTTCCATAACTAAGAATCACCAAATTTCACACTAACTTGCCAAATGTTTGTGTTATTTAAATAGGTGCCCTGAACCCATTTAATCCATAAAAATCTCTTTGTCAGAATGAACATACCATATAGTTCTCAATGCAGTGGCCATGTTCCAAGTTGTAGCAAAAAAAAATTTCCAGACCTCCATGTTTCTTCCCCGTGCATACTTTTTCCTAGGACACAAGTGGTGCCTTGAAGCTATGGTCAGATTTACCCCAAAGGAAATCCCTGCATAGATCATCAATTTTCTGTAGGACTTTTGTAGGCAAGATATAACAAGATGTCCAAAAGATTTGAACAGCAAATATGACACTTTTGGTGATATGTATTCTGCCTGCGTAAGATAAGTTTCTATGCTTCCACCAAATCTGAAATTGATTTGAAATTTTCTTGAGCAGGGGACTGCAATCAATATAAGACAATCTTTTGGAGATTAGGGGTAAACCAAGAGCTCATCTTTTTGAACAAAAAAGATTTTAAGCTAGCTTTTTAATATTTAATTGCTTGATAAATTATCAATAAGTTGCCTTATAAGTCCCATTTAAAAAGTTAAAATTTTCAACTTTTGAAAAACTAGTTTTTTTCAAGGAATAAGAAACAACTTATAAGCTCACATAAATAAGCGAGATTTGACCAAGTTAATTCTATCTATACAAATTTCATAAGCAAGTCGAAAAAAGCCATGATAATTTATAAGCTCATAAAACTAAGCACTCCCAAACATTTACCAATATTATAA